CTACTAGGTATCTACAGACCTGCACTTGCAATGTGAGTGATCATATAGGAAAATTCCAGAAGATTTATTGTTCTGTTTACTATTGCTCCTTCAACCCTTGTATCCTGTCACCAGAAGTAGCCAACAAATGCTGCATCCATATTCCACCACACTAGCCAGCTGTTCAAAGCTAGACATGAGCTTGGGAGAAATTCCTTCCTGACCCAAGTAAGACATATTTGCCTTACAGCAATGGATTAGCCACTAATTTCAGCCTGCTGACTACACTCCGATCTGTACATGCAATATTTCTATAGGCTTTCCTGCTTCCCTCACACTAACTGCCAAATGCAATCAAGTTCCCTTGTGTCTGCACTTCCCCTGATGCAGAGTGTCAGCCTTAGTGTCTGATTTTATAACAGAACAGCCTGCTGGAGGTGAGCATGAAACAGCTGAGTCTAGTTATACAAAGACATTCCGACAAAAAGGCTGCTCTAGAGATGGGAGAATGTCCAATATTTTTTTGAAAATGTCAGTATAGAAAGTTCTTTGAATCCTGTAGCTGACAGTGAATTCTGCCAGTCAAAAATTAGACTTCCCAGAGGGTTTTGTTAACCCTACCTTTGAGGCAGTTACCTCTTTTTGCAGAAATTGACCATGACATACTGAACTTAAGAAAGCTGTGGGCCTTAGAGGTCAAGAACACAGCAGCTTTATAATTGTGCCTGTTGGATGCCTCATATATCTATCTGTCTATATGCTCATTTCATCCTAAGTATTCTGATGGCTGGAAAATATTGCATTCTAAGAGTTAAGCATGTAAACTATGGAGCCAAGTATTACTACTCTTGATCAGTGGAGAATAGAAAATTGAGTAATGCACAATACACGTTTGGGCTCTACTATTTTTAATACACGATAACTGAACAATAAACTGAATCTAAAAGTACTCGTGGGACACGTACTGTCTGACATAACGTCATTTTACTGCTAGCGTTTGGACCAGCGCATTGCACAGCATTTATGCTCACTGGCAGTGTAATGTTGCTTTAGTGTCTAAATCATAAGGTATTCATTTAAAAGGGTTGCAGCAATATTCATTGCACATTGGTCAAAAGGAGCCAAGAGGCAGATTTGCCTGTAAAGCTGCTCAACTTACTTGGAGAGGAATTCTTACATTTTACATATTACAAATGGCAGCACTTTTTTCTTTTGAACTTTTTTTTAAAAAAGAGGCAACTTACTGCTAGGAAGGATTCTTTTTATTTTTTTAGCGTTTCAAACTTCTTTAAGAATAGAGATGTGATGTTACCAAGACTCCAGGGATCACAGACAACGTACAGCTAAGCAATTCAGTACTGGGGGACTTAACTTTAAAAGATTTGTTTTACATCACTCCAATGATAGCATCAGAGTTGGCAGCTGCATGGTGTAATGAAAGGTAATAGGAACCATCAAAACATTAAATAGGTAGGATTTTCAAAATTCCAGGGGAGTTGGCACCTAGTTCCATTAGGTGCTTTGAAAATCCCACCCAATATAATTAGTACCTGTTACCATTGCACAGAGAGACTGGTCCAGACTCATGGCGTAGTCTAAATCCATTGATGTCCATAGCAAGACTCCCATTATGTTCAGTGGGCTTAGGATCGGGCCCTTGTGAAGGGCGATGAATTATGAAGAACCTGTCCAAACTGAGATCAGAACCACACTGCCTACAATTGTGTTTGAACATTGTGTTTATTATTATTAGCAAGGTTCTGAGGCGTTGTCCACACTAGGGTTATTTCTCTAAAATTTCCTATCATTTCACCTCCGCCTGTGATATCAGTAGTGACAGCTCTGGTGTAGACATGGTGCTGGAAGCTGCCAGTATCTTAAGTACCATGCTATGTAGACCTGCTCTGAGCAAATGCTCTTGGCACTGGCTGGCTGTATCCCATTAAGCAGATACTTTGCTTATACTGTCCCATTAACCCGCAGTCATTTTCTTTAGGATAAACTGGTTCCCTGGGAGGTATCTGTCAAAGCCTAAATGAAAAATCCTGAAACCACATGTTCATGATCACAACTTGAAATAATGTATTCTCCCATCAGACCTTATTTGGAAGTAGGAACATGAACAAGAATTTTAGCCTGCCTTCTCCCCAGTAACTAACACTAGCAGCTTCTACATATATTATACATATTTTTGTGCTAATTTTTAGGGAAAGAAACTACCATATAACCTTGGAGCTGATGCTGAAGAAGGGGAGGTTTCTGATGAAGACAGTGCTGATGAAATTGAAGATGACTGCAAGTTAAAGCTCTGTTATGTAAGTGTATAACAATTATATGGCACAATTTGCTTTCCCAATCCTGTGTTCCTTACACACCCCAAACTCCCACTTAATATTGTTACCTATAGATCAAAATTTTTGCATTTGGATGCCTAAAGTCATGCACCTGAATCCATATGTAAGCACCAAAGTGGTCTGAATTTCACATCTCTAAACCATTCTTTTATTATTTCTTAGCCTTTTGTCTGTTTTCTCTTCTTTTTTTTGTTGCCTTTAACCCCTTTACTTGCTCTCTTTTTAAAGATCTTACCCTGGTCTATTTTCTTTTATGCTTTAATTTTATTTTTAACCATTTCCATATTTGTTGCTACCTAACATAAGCCGTTGTGCAGTGCTGATGCACGCTATGCAACAGGTGTCCAGCCCAGCAGCAGCCACACTTCACTAATTTAAAATTTTGAACAAGAAAGAAGATATTATACAGTATGGTACAAATACAAGGGGACAAATTTAGATTTGGCATCAACAGATGTAACTCCATTGATCTCAGGTTTGAATTTGGCCCAGTGAGCTTGCTTTTTTATTACACCCCCACTCACTCCCATATCATCTTAATTTATACCGACTGTTTTAATTACACACACACACACACACACACACACACACACTACGTTTCTAATTACAGACACACATCCCCATGTAGTTCTCAGTTATATTAAATATTTTGCAATAGCTTTTTATACAGATTTTGTTTTGTTTTTCTTTATCATTTACATCTGCTGTTGGGAGTTAAACATTTCGCAGGCTGACTTGGGAATCACTTTGCAGATTTAGGTACTATAGATTCCCTTCTGAACTATCTTAGAGAAAGCAGATGTTCACGCCATTTCTTTTCTTTAATTCTATGCACAGGCACCACCTACATGTCAAGTAATCAGCAAAGTCTTCTCTAGGATTCATGTACATTGCATAAAGGGACTGGATTTTTCTCTCTCTCTTAAGACAGATAAATGCAGTGATACTTAACATTGAGAGAGACGATGTGATTCATTTCATTTTTACAAAGCCTTAGGCTTTCCGATTACTTTGTGGTCAGAGTGTAGTGCGATGCTATTTGAGCCATATGGTCTACAAGACAACCTCATGTAGAAATACAATTTTGATTTGGATCCATGAAGCAAGAGGCAAAGACCGCTCGTTCAGTGACCCAAGAAGTTATATTCTCTCCGTATTGCTTGCAGCTTGGAACTTTTTCATATTTAGTAACAAAAAACTAAGCTACAGTGAAGGTTGCTAAATGCAATTTAGGTCCCCAGTCCTCAAAGCCTTTAGGCTGTGCTTAATTTTAAGCAGCTGTCTAAATATTTGCAGGATCGGGGTTGAAGCGAAGAGATGCCATTGAACACAACTATAAATATAACCCCAAGGTAAGGTTAGATAACCAATGGTGACCACAGCTTTAACTCCCCATTCATGCACCCACACCATCGAACAGAAACATGCTCAGTGACTGGCAGAGGCTATCCTAGCTTTCCCTGGGTAACCCCCTCCATCATATAGAATTATCTTAAAGGGGTGCCCTTAAATCCAACAGGAAAGCACAGGGCTTCCTTGTGGGTGGCCCTGTGTCTGCCACACAACTGGAGCATCTGCAGGATTTAGTAGTAGGCCCTCACTTTCTTCCATGGCGGTGAAATCTCTCTCCCCCTCAGCAGAGGAACGAACAGTGAATTCCACTCTATGTGAGGCCTTTATTTACATCAAAAGTTCTGCTAAACATTTTTTGTTCTGTGTTTGTACAGCATCTAGCACAATCAGGCCCATAGGTGCTATCACAATACAAATGACTATTATTAATAATAAAAACGCCGTATCTGTGTTCCATCAAGAGTTATAATATTGCACTTAGTGTTTTACATTTTCCAAGGGCTGTGGCAACACATCAGCTGTATAGTCCTCACTACATCTCAGAGAGAGTAGGTAAGTGATAGGATTGTTCCCATATGGGGAAACTGACACAGAGGTGCAAAATTCTGAGGTGATCTAAATGGTGACCTAAGTCAACGTAACTTACACATCAAAGGACTAAAGGGAAAAACATGGCAGGGAAAGCAGCCAATCGGAAGATGCAGACTAAAGCGGTTTTCATCATCCTACTTGTACTTGGAAAGGGTAGAAGGAAATGTTGAGAACATCAATAGTTTGCTTGGATGGAAGCATCCATACTGTTCCATTTGGGTTACTCAAATAGGATTGGCGTGTCTGAAAGTATTTTAACAGGATTTGTTTATTCATTTCAGAGTAATGGTACAACTGAGCACCAGATGGAATCTTTTATAAGAAAGAAACTTGAATCATTGATAAAAGAATCTCAAATCCGGGACAAAGAAGACCCTGACAGTTTCACCGTGAAAGCGCTGTTAAAGGCGACACATGAGGGCTTAAATGTAAACCTGAAACAGGTATGATCATTCTTGTTCCTTCCTCGTGCTATGACAAATGCAGTAATATTAGGCTAGTGCAATATTCATTGCAGATTTGGCATGTAATGAAAGCTCATAGTAATATTTTATAAACCCTTTAAACGTTATTTTATCTAAAATAAGAGCTTGGAACAGTTATTTAAAAAATGTTGAGAGGATTCTGGACCTCTCAGATGTGAAGGGTCTATGTTAATCTGTATTAGTAAAGACACTGCAGCAACTATAGCACTGGAAGGGATTTGCCAGCATGGACTCATACTTAGATAAAGTTCATTAGTCACTGAGACTGCACATGGCTCAAAAGGTCCATGCTAATGGGTCCCATCACATCATCAGGGCCTTTGGCATAAATTGTGTCCTGAATGGGGAAAGATAAGGGTAAGTGAAGCTTGGTGACAGAATGTGAGCAAAGCAGGAGCTTTAGATATGCTCTCACTAGTATGTGTCACACTGAGAGAAGATTCTCCTCCCAATTACGTGGATATAAATCTGGAGTAACTCTGTTGAAGTGAGTGGCATCATTCTGGATTACCATAGGCATAACTGGTCTAATCAGTTTTTTCTTCCAAACTTTGGGGATATAAGAGAGTGTGACCTCATAAATTAAATAATACAGAAACAGTTACAAAATTAATGTCGTTTTACGGTTGTGTCTTTACTCTTTTTGCTTAGTGTAGCTTGAAACGTATTGTAAATGATGCTAACGCTTCCCACTTCCATAGCTCCTTCAGTCTGAAGATCTCAGTGTACTTCACCCACAATAATTGATTAAACCTCAAGGTGAAGTAAGCAGCTAACCATTTTATAGATAGGTAAACTGAAAAACAGGTGAGTTGCTAAAAGTGACAGAAAGTCAGTGGCAGAGCTGAGAAATAGATCCCTGGAGTCCTTACTTTCATTTCTATTTAGCCGTGTTCCCTCCAGTACTGTAGGGCGGATTGTAAAAACCATTTCAAAGGGGTTAATTCTGAATCACTGAATTCAATGGGAGCAGAATCAAGAGAACTTGATTGTGTAAATGTTAAGCCATGTATTTCTGCATTGAATTTTAAACATTGTCTGAGCATTCAAGCATACATGATGGGGGGGCGACTCACCACTGCGGGGAATTAGCGCTGCACCCTCTGCTGGTGGTGTCTCGCCCACTGTCACCTCTGTTCCTGGACCCACGTCACTCCCAGGACCGCAGCATCCTCTTCATGACACTGCCTTCCGGCTGTGCTATACTCCGTGTTCCCCCCTTCCAGGGGAACTGCAGTCCACTGTCCAGCCACTTCCTTCAGTGGCAAGCACAGTCTACAGTTTAGCTATTTCCCCAGTGGCGAGGAGCAGGGGGGAGGACGCGGGCCCGCCCACTACTCCGGGTCCCGGCCCAGGGACCCTATAGATAGCAGCCACTTACTGCATCCCCTCCAACTCCTCTGTGGATCTCCCTGGGCCACTTCCCGGCAGCCCCAGCACACTCTTTGCCCTAACTTCAGGGCCTCAGCCTGCAGCACCAGCCTACAGCACTGCTATGTCCAGGGTGCTTGCCACTCTCAGCCTGCAAGGCAGCCAGTCTACCACCCTCCTCAAACTCTAGGGAATGACTGACCTCTGTCCTGCGGCTCTTCTTATATGGACCCTGATTGGCTGCTCCTTGTAGTCCTCTTCAATTGTCTGTCTCTTGCACAGCATCCCTAGGGTCTTCTCCAATTGGCTACCTGTTGCGCAGCATCCCTAGGGTTCTATTAACCCTTTATGGGCTAGTGTGGGGGCAGACGCCCCATCACAGCATATTACAGTGGGTTAGTAACCAGTGGTACTTTCTTAGGGCCTGATCTTGTAAACACTTACTAATGGGCATAGCATTTACTGCTGTGAGTAGCCCATTGATTGCCCCCTAGATCCTGCTAGGTAATTTGAGCCTAGCACAGTCCCTCCCTCTCTGCAGCCCACTGTCTTTCCCCAGACCTCCGCTACCAGGAGGCTGGATAAGGAGCACCTGCCTAAAGCTGAGCATCATTCTGGCAGGTTTATACTGCCCAGCCTGCTTACTTCTCTGAGAGGGAGGGAAGCTTTGATTGGAGGAGGGAGAGTAGCAGAATCTAAGGGGCAGAGCCTCCTGAACTGAGGCCACAAGGAGAAGGAGCCCATTTCCAGATTGATAGTCTCTTTTGTTGAAAGTGAATTTACTGGTGAGACCAAAGCCCCACCTTGTCATGTCTTTGACTGCTAAAGACTTCTCCTCTGATCCCTCCCTCTTCTCACAAATTTGAACGTTGATCTTTCCACAAGCGGTCACCAAAAGTCATCAGTCTTTCTCATGGGATTAGTAATTATGATCAGATTTCAACCACACACGTTCCCTTTTGAGCTAGAATCCTGTCATTTAGTACATTCTTTGGTACACACCAAATTGCTGATTGCAAGGGAAAATAACCATATCTGAAATTAGGAAGTCAAACACATAAGTCACTAAAAGGTCATCACTTTGATTATTTACAAAAATGATAGTAATTTCCTCCAGGACGGAGTCATGTTGGGCATGAGGCTTTCACCTTGGAGAAATTAATGACATCTGAGCTTAGCAGTTACAATGAATATGAGCCAAGATAATTGGTGAAAATGAGAGTGTTGCAGATATCACTGACTGTAGCCATGTCCAGACATTGGGTATGATGCTGTCAACTAGCAGTATCAAATTTGAGGGCTTGTGTATACTTACGGGTATATCGGCATTGCTGCAATCAATGCAGTGGTGTCAATTTAGTGAGTCTGGTGAAGACAAGCTAAGTCAATGGCAGAGCGCTTTCCCGTCAATGTCTGTACTCCACGTCCCCGAGAAGCGTAAGGTAAGTTGGCGGGAGAACATCTCCGTCAACACAGAGTGGTGTAGACACCACTGAAAGTTGACCTAAGTTACGTCGACTTCAGTTATGTAACTTACGAACTTAGGTAGACTTACAGCTTTAATGTAAACCAGCCCTGAGACTAGACTTTTGCTGATTCATTAATCAATTTAAGTGGCCACTAATGATACCCATTTGTCTCTTACCATTCCTGTCTGAAGCCTTGCGGTGCTTGACTATGGGTTTGAGGAGTGATTTTTGGTCCTTTTGTCAGCTCAGAGCTCAGCAATGCAACAACAAGCTAAAATATCTGGTGGTTTAACTGATATCAAATGTTGACCTACATAGGAGAGAAACAATTGTAAACAAGAATTAAACTTTTATGTTTTGGTAATTCAGTAACTCATTAGCTAGCTCTGTTATACTTAAGGGTTTGTCATTATAAAGCTAGTTTCTAATCATTTTCATCTGATTGTCGTACCTGAAAGGTATCTACTGAGCAGATTTTTCCATTTGCTTTTGTTTTATTATGCAAATCTCATTCCCCTTAATTGCAGCTATCCAAGTGTCATTCATTTCCCTGTAGCATTACCATGTTTTCAAAAACAGAGCACGTTACATCGCAAGTTTATGCCTTGTCCTTGAGTTAATATCACATAATAGAAGAGGAGCATGGTGTAATGGTTAGATTACAGAACTAGAAGTCAGAAAATCTACATTCTGTTCCTAGATAGTCCACAAAACATAGGCCCCGATTCTGTGGTCAGATATGAAAAATGGATCTCAAAACTGGTGTAGCTATCCTTAGGGAATAATACAGTGGTGGGGCGGGAAAGAGGCATTTCTTGGGAGGCATAGAGCCAGTGTAATGGCCTGCACCACCTGCCACCTTGCAGGACACAGTGTAGGGGCATGCAGGAGGCAGAAAGGGACAGGGCAGGAAAGAGAGGGGGTGTGACTGGAGTCCACTGTACTTATGCACTACAATTTTGGCATGGTAGAGGACCCATAGGGAGCTGTTCAAAGCCGTCATAAATTAGAGCAGCCTCTGAGGTGCTCTTAATTTAGGCCAAGGTCCAGGCATACTCCAGCTCAGCACAGAAGCCCAGAGGTAAAGTGGTGGCAGGCAGCCAACCACCTTTGCTCTGCGATTCCTAGGCTGCACCTCTCAAGGGGTGCAGGTCAGACACAGGGCCTTATGGTGTAATCTTAGTCAAATCACTTAAAGAGAAACCATCAACCTGAAGTCTAGTCACTTTTTAAAAAAATGAATTGAAAGCGGTTCAAGAAATTACATTTGCCTCTGAGTTCAGTTTTTGAGGTTTTATAACCAGAATTTCCTACATTTTGTTGTTTTTTTTCTCTTCCCTGTGCTGTGTCAAAGGTCCTTTCAGAGATTAAATGCTGTCAAGTGTGATTTTTTTAAAGTTCAATTTCCATGTCTATAAAATGAGTTTAATAACACCCTCCTATTTTACAAGGGATTGATGAGTCTTAATCCATTAACGTTTGCAAAGTTCTTGCAGATCCTTAGCTGCAACTCGCTTCAGAAGTATGAGGGATTGTTATTAATAACCCATGTTGAATCTGTATCTACTTCAAAAACTATGTGTAAATAGTCCTAGAACATGAAAAATTTTCTGTCCAGAGGAAAAATAGGTGATGTCTTTTGACCTTTTCTTTTTGGCCTGGCACAACTTTCTGTAAACTTTTCCTTGAGTTACCATAATCTATTCATTTACTGGAAAGAAAGAACATAATGAATTGTGTGTCTAAGTGCAGTCTGAGGCAGCGGGTCACTTGTGAAGGCTAACCACTGTAATGGAAAGTACTAGCTGTACCGGGTCTGTACAAACTCCAGAATTTGTATTTTTGGCATAGGAACCACAACATAACTATAAAAGTAGAAAGATTTCAACGAAAGTGGTCCTTACCTTCTAGGACCACTGATTCCTTGTGCTTTCCCTCTGTGGCTTTGCGCACTATCCTTTTATTTTTGGAGATACGAGTTCAAATCCTGTTCAGGCCACAAATGAAAACCATCACCAGGATCCCAAAGGGACATTTGTTTGCATCAGAGAAGCACTTAACATTTGCTTGTCCTTGTTCAGGAAAGGCCCTGGACTGGAAAACAAGGCTACTAGTAGG